TATAAGTGAATTGATAATTCAACCATTTAAGCCGACTTATACTCAATGTTATATGGAAACTTTGCAATAGTACGTCATTCTAAGGTAGTGAAAATAAGAAGTAACTTTTGATTTGATTTGACTTGTCGAAGACACTAATCCAATGTACACGGCGAGCTCAAGAGGTCTAGGATATTCTCACCATATTTGTGGCTTTAACTTTTAAAGCAATCAAAGAAGATGATTTTTCTAATATTACGTCCTAAACATATCGTATATATTTATATACAAAATTTTGTTTTCACATGGGACCTTCCTCGCATTCATGTGGATGAGAAAGGTCGTTAGCTACAATTTAATATTGAAAGGGAAATGAGAAATTTATATTTGTGAGACATTCTGAATTGACACAGTCAATAAAATGTCTCTTTTGTTCTTCGATAATTCATGTGAGGGCACAAATTTTATGTATTTTTATATGCATCACAAATCACATCTCCTTAGACACTGAGAAAGAAAATTTTCATAGTTGTTGATATAGTGAGAAGGAAAAAATAAAAAATAAGGTTTAAAAAATACTCAAAAACTTAAAAAAATAAATAAATAATCGTATTTACTGATTTACAACAAAATACGTGTTAAGGGTATATTACAAATTGATTAAAAGTGAAAGAAATAAACAAAATATAACTACGTGTCTACTTTTTTAATAAGGTCGACATTTTAAGATGATATGAAATTTTCTTACATTTAAACTATTAATTCGATTTGTTTAAAGTGAAAAAAAATATATAATAATAATTATAATAACTGAGCATTCATATTTCAAAATGAATAATTTTTAAAAGTTGAATAGAGCATTAATTAATTTTTAACTAATATAAAAATTAACAAAAATGGAAACCCCTTTCGAGGCACTCATCCTAAATCATTAGAATGAGCTCTTGTTTGGGCTTCATTATAATGAGATTTTGGAAATAATGTATTGTAGAATAGTAATTTCTGGGATAATGTGTGGTTAGAAAATAAAAAAAAAATTATTTACGTATAATATTGTTTTAATGGAGAATGAGTGATCGAAAAGAAAAATATAAAAATGCATTAAATTTTTAATAACATCCAGACAAGAGCATAGAGATGATGGGACAAAATATTTTGTCACTACAAATCAAATCATTACAGTTGAGACATTTCGATCCTTTGTCGATTGCCGTGTTCATTCGGGTGCATAAGAAAGGTAAAGTCTGTCTCCACTATGCTGCAATTAAATTCCTGTTTGATTTTTTTAAAAGTTATATTTTTAATAAATTTTGATAAAAGTTGATGAAAATATGAATTAAAAAATTGATAAAAATTATGAATCTCATAAAATATGTGATTAAAATTTATTTTTGACTTTAATTTAATTTTTTAACAAGTTGTTTTAGCTAAATCGAACTTGGGCTAAATTTTGAGTGGAAAACTTTCATATGGTTACAAATATATCGCGAGTTTTTAGCCAATAAAGAAAGGAAGACTTCAATAATTGATTTGAAATCTCTTTTCGTTATAACAATATTAAGTTACGCAACAAATAATATATTTTTATCCATCTATTTTCACTTATATTTGATGCATTGAATGAAACAAAACTAAAATCGCTCATATTTTCTTGCATGTATCATTGGCAATACCTTAGAGGGTAAGTGTTGTTTTTTTTTTTTTTTTTTTTTTTATTGAAAAAATTTCGATCCAATCATATCTCATCATATCATATATATGTAAACCATTATACACATATTGTACAATCGTTTCCATGTGAATTCATACGGCAGCATTAGCTGTAAAAACATGAATTATAAACACTAGGCTCAAGGATTAAAATTTTAACTTTAATTAAGTCAAAATCGACAATTAATTTTTACTACATATTTCATGTGACCCACGACTTTTCAACGATACATTTCATCAATATTATTATAATTTATAAAAAATCTAATTTTAATCCTCATCAAATAGAGGCTAAAATCTTGGAACGACACTTTGGACCATTTATAGACATCCTTATAACTGCTTTTTCCTACTTGAAAAAAGTCATGAAAGTTTTAGTTACTATGTTGTAAGATATTCATGTTTGTGTGTCAATACATGTACATGATTGTAAAATGTTGTGACCCACCAAAAATTTAAAACGTGATTGTCGAAACACATACATCAATCAAATAATGAATAATAATTTAATTTAAATATTGAAGTTTGTCACAAATTTTATATACCAATGAGTTCTATGTGTCACGTCATCGATATTTAGTATAAGGTAAGCATTCATGCTCAATAAATCATTTTTTTTTTAAACTATAATTTCATACGTGATACTTTCGCTGCTAAAAATTGGCCATAGAAAACCCA